TGGATGTCCCATCCTTTTGAGGGATTATTAAATATCCTTCTGGGAATGGATGCGTGCCAACAGGGACATTCCTGTCAATTGACACTCAATTCTGCCACTTTATGCCACGTGTTCAATTCCCTTTGACTACTAGTCTGTCCTTTCCCTAATTCTGACTTCTTTGGGAAAACAAGTTAATGATGAATGAGCAGTTGTAATCTCAAGTGATGATAGTTTTCAATTATCTTCCATGTCTCGAGGTTCTGGAGCCATGGTGACGTCAAGGGTAGACCTTGGGAGAGCAAATTGCACAGAGGACACATATCATAATGTGAGAAATGGAGGTGACCTCAGAGCCGAGAACACGTGGCAGCAACCACCAAATTCCTGATGTCCTTGGTGCCGAGGACATGTGGCACTCCTGATGACTTCGGTGTCGAGGACACGTGGCAGCACCTCAAGTCTCTGATGTCCTTGATGCCGAAAACACATGGCAACACCACAAGCACCTCATTACCTCGGCGTCAAGGACACATGACAACACCCTCCAAGTTCTTGATGTCCTTGGAACCAAGGACACGTGTCAAAATTTCAAGCAATGGTGACCTTGATGCTAAGGACACATGTCAATCTTTGGTGGAGTCTCAGGAGTTTCCCATCAGGTAGCATATAGTTCTAGAATTGATGAAGAGTTTCATGGCCTCTTGCCAAAGGCTAACTAGTTAGAGGGCCTTACGGGGACAAGAACTCTTGGTTGATTATTGGAATTTCACCTCATGCTTATGTTCTAAATCATTAGTCAATCGATCAAGATTTAATTTAGAACGATGAAAATCGTTCCCACATATGGCATAAAAGTGCACTATGTGTGTGTGCTAAAGCATGTAAAGAATGCACAGAGAATTAAGTGGTTCACCTAGCTAAAGAGTTGTGTTAGTCCATTATAATGAAAGTTCTTGCTCACTGGCAGTATATTTCATATTTATTGAGTAAGAAGATGAGTACAATTGAGTTTTTCCCCTTCCTTCAAGCAACCTCTTTGGGAACCCCTTTTTACATAGTGATCATTGTGTTTTATAACAGATTTTTTAGAGAATAATAAGAAATATTCGAAGAATATTTAGTGTGATGTGACCTTCTAGAAGCGGTGATTTATTGCCCAAGGTAAGATTTTATGACAAAAGTTATTTTCTACCCTTTTTGGCAGTTTCTATGTTGTTTATCATCTTCTGAAATATCATTGTTGACATTTATATTTTTTTGGTATCATTAGCTACAATTTCTACCTTATTTAATTTTTTTAAAAATTTCTAATTTATTTACGTTCTTAATAGTGTTATAGGTTCTTAGAATATATCTTTTTTATGAAAACCTTTAAAAATAAGGATATTTTGAAAAAAATAAGTTAATAATTATCGGTGAATATTCAATGTAGTAGTAACAGCTACATCACATCATTACTACCCTTATTTAATAAAAAATAATTAAATGGATAAATCGAATTTCACTATTTTATAAAAAATAATTATCTTATTAAATGGAGAAGTGATTATTAAATTTAGTAGGATTTACTTGCTAATTTTTTATTTTTTAATTAGATGCTGAATAACATGACGATGATAATGTGATGTCATTCTTACGCAATAAATATTTTATTGAATATTTTTCTCAATAATTTGCTCATAAATAATAATTATTTAAACCTAATTTATTGATATAATAAATTATTATTATTTGATTAATTGAAAGTTCTAAAAAATATTAGGGTATACTGTTAATTTAAAGCTTATAAATAATTTGGTTAATAAATTAAATCAATAAATTACGTTTAGTATACCTTAGACATGAGGATCCATGGTGATTTAGACGAGTTTATAGCTAATACCCAAAACTTGCAAGTGTACATGAGAAAAACAATAAGAGGAGATTATTCTCACTTTACAAATCTCTATTCCCACCCCAATTAAACTATAAATAATAAAATTACTAAGTTTATCTTTTTTATACTCATCTCACTAACTAAACCCAACACATTTTATACCCATCCTATTAATAACAAAACTAATTTCAATATTTACAGTTAAAGTTTCTTTCTGTACCTATCTCACACAATTTATTCACAAAATATATTCAACTAGATTTCACTATGGTATTTTTCATGCAAATTACTTTAATTGTCGTTGTTCGATTTCTATCTTTTTCGATTTCATCGTCGAAATAGTACTTCAATTCTTGTCTTTGCTTCTCTTTCTTACTTTTTTAATTGTTAGTTAAAAGAATTTGCAGAGAAAAAAAAATCTTTTTCACACCAAAAATTTAAATATATAGAAAGAAACCTCTTGGAATTTTTATTATAGACTGCATATGAAGCTAAGTTTCTTGAAAAGGAAAAAAAATATATTATAAAGTTTCTCTTCTCGAATCATACAGTCTATACATAATTGTTTGTTTACTTTTAGTATATAATTCAATTTAGTATATTTTGTATAGACTATTTGAAATAGGGTATATAAAGAAACCCTAAAAGTAAAAATTGAGATAAGTTTAGTTATTAATGAGATAGTTAAAAAATAAAGTGGACTTAGTTATTAGTACAATGGGTATAGATGGAGTGAACTTTGTAGTTTTATGATTTATAATTTAATGGGAGTGAGAACGTAGATTTATGGGGTCGGAATAGCCCTACCCAAAAATTTATTACGACGATAATACCATGTCAATATTGTCATATAGTATCATCAATTAATATTATATAAACGATTAAAAAAATAAATCTCACGAAAATTAATAACTATTTGTCCATATAAAACAATGAGCAATGTTATAGAGGCCTAATTTGAAGATCTAATGATGTGACTTCAATATAACTATTCGATTAATTGTGAGTTTCAATGTTAAATAGAACCCACTACCGATTTAAAATTGTATTGAATTAGATCTTAAGATTAGGTTCAACTAACATTTTTCTAGTGCAATAACTATTCATTCTCACTCTATGTAACTCAATAATTACTTAAATAAGGATCACTTTGCTAATTTGATAGCTTAAAAAAAGCAATGCTATATGAACCTTGTTTAGTGACCTTATTTTGTGATATTATAATTCTCTACATTTAGATTAATAGGGAATGAGCAATGCTATTGAGACTTAATTTATTGACATAATTTGTTGACTTAATTTACTATGACATTTGAATTAACTGTGGACTCCATAAAGCATTAGAACTTGGTGTTTATCCAATAATTCCAATGAAGCCATATCATTAGATCAACAAATTATGTCAGATTTTTAGGTGAAAATAATATTTTCCTCCCAAAAAAAGTCATTAAATTAAGTATAAATTATACTTTTTAATTAAAAATTATTAATTAGTGATATTATGTAAAAAATACTATTTGTCATTTAAAATTTTAAATTTATTAATTGACTTAATTAATTACTATTTTTGAGTTATTTTTTTAAAAACTCTAATAAAATCACATCATTAACTTACCAAATATTACGAGATATTTAAAATTGAATGGCATTACTCCACATAATATTGCATTGAATATTTAGTCGGAGTGTAAATAAATTTAAGTCAGCAGTTGTCGCTTCAAGATCCTCTGAAGCGACTCCAAAATCTCTTTCACAAATGCATGTTGTTAAAAGCCTGCAAATGCTTTCACCTCTACGCCGTCATTTCTTCAGCCTTTCTACTCTCTCCCCCCCGCCCCCCCAAACCCCAACCAACCAAAAAACGAAAACCCCTGATTGGTGCGCACTGGTCAGTTTCGTTTCCTCAACCCAAAACTCTTTAACCTCTCTCTGTATTCTTTCGTTGTCTCTCTATCGACTGCTCAGGATCATTTTACTGGACCTCTAGGGAGCTGAAGTACTGAAGTTATAGCAAGCCAACAATGGCCACCAGAAGTAGCATGAAAGAGAAAACTGAGGCAGCAAGGCTCACGTTGAGGCCATCAGAAAACAAAAGTTTTCAATAGGTGAAAAACGAGCAAACCCCTTAACTGCTGATCTCCACGACGCTGTCACCAACCTCTCCTCTGAGCTCTACACCAAAGATATCCATTTTCTCATGGAGCTTATTCAGGTTCTCTCCCTCTTCATTCTTCATATATCCAGTGTTTTGAACCTGTTTCATGTGAGAATGGTGCCTAAGTAGTTGTTTTTTAATGTGTCTGTGGTTTGGTGACCTTAGAATGCCGAAGACAATGAGTATGTGCCCGGCGTTAGGCCGACGTTGGAGTTCGTGTTCACAACCACTGATGTTACCGGCACCGGCTCTCCGGCGACTCTGCTGGTATTCAACAATGAGGTGGGTTTTACAAAAGCAAACATTGACTCCCTCTGCAGTATTGGTCAATCCACTAAGAAAAACAAGAGACGCCAAGGCTTCATCGGAGAGAAAGGTAATGAAACATATGTCTTTTACGTCCTGGGTTCATTCACACTCACACATACACAAGTCCATGCCTCAAAATCCTGAAACCCTACTTTAGGTTTTGCTAAATGTCACATGCGAGTGCTCATAGAATGGGGAAGAGTGTTTCATATATATGAAAACTAGAGTGATTTTCATATTGGGAGATTATTGATTTTGTGTTTTCCTTTTCCTATGGTGAGACTTATTCATGGGCGCCTGAGGTGGTCATTGATAAGGTTCCAAGCATGCCTATGTTGGAATTACCCCAATGTAATGTTACTTGGGTTAGAAAATCACTCCGCTACAAGTGGACTAGAAATAAAATGAAAGGATGTAGAGGAGGATATGGATGCTTAAAGAATTTTTTTTTTATACAATCACACTCAACTTGGATTCTTCAACTTCTACTAAGTTCTACTTACTTACTTAGGACATTAGAACATATATTCTATTTATATAGGTCTAAGCCATAACTCCTAGTCCTAGGATTCCATTTGCACACCACTACACCTACTAACTCTTGTAACTTCTATAATAGTAAGACACCATTACTTAGGGGAATTAATACCCACTAATCATGGTTTTAAAAACTGGCTGGACATCAACCCGACAAAGGGACCAGGTCAATGGGTTATTGGTTCAACCTTTGGATCAGTAGTCGAACCGTTAAATAATAAAAAAATAAAAAATAATTATAAATAGATTAAAAAATTATAATAATTATGAAAATAACATGCTTAATGTATATTAGATCAAAAAAACCCCAAAATCATCAAAACTGTATCCAATATCAAATAATTAAGGTCTTCAAATTTCAAAGTTCCAACACCTAATAGTATAATCAACTACAAAATTACAAATACAAATCAACTGATAGCATAATATAAGAGCTGAATGAATTTTCAAATCAAGTAATAGCACAATTACAAACATATTATAATAGCATTCATCAAAGAATATCTTTACTATTTCCCGGTGGAGAATTTTTTATTTTTTTTTTAACAAAAATTCTAATTCATAGCAAACAAAATAAGTATAGGTTTACCATAGTTCAGCTGAGGAAAAAAAAAGAAAAAAAATTGCTATAACATAGTCAAAATAGCAATTCATTCAATTACCCATCACGCTTCCATCTACAAGCTACCCATCCTTCAAGCTTACTTCTCTGATGAGGTTGGTCCCCTCTTCTTCCCAAAGCCAACAATGGCGGTTACAAAGTGGCAATTGTACTGCATGCGCTTGTGAGCACGGCCACGGGCTTCTTCTTCTTGTCTTGCTTAGCCACCTTCGATGTTTGGCCTCTCACCTTACCGGCACTAGCTCGAGATCCATGAACCTTACCCATGGCGGATGGTTTTTTCTTTTTGTTGGCTTAGAGCTCCTACTGCTGTTGGTGCAGATAGCTTCCACAGATGAATATCGTTGTTGAACCAGAGAAGAGGGCAAGTAAATAAAATTTTGGGCAAAAATGTCCTAGAACTTCATTTTTATAGTTGTCAAATTAAACTGTCCGATTTTATCCAAACCAGCCGGGTCAGCGAGTGTATTACAAAACCGGTCGGTTCAATGGATTCTTACCGGTTCCTTTGCTCAAACGATCTGATAGTTGAATCGACTCAATTCAGGCTCCGGTTCACCGGGTCAACCAGCTGGGCCAGACCAGGTTTTAAAACACTGCCACTAATACTCTTGTCTTCCACTATTTGTATATTCTTTGCCCACTAACACACATCAAATTAACATACCTTAATAATATAATAAATACTGAAACAAGTTTATATTCCCCCACCCCCACCCCCACCCCACTCCACTAAATTTGATTTTGCACTTCCTAGTCCTTATCGTGCAAATCACTTCATAATAGAGGAGTTTCATGGAATTATTGCAAACTTCATGACTTGAGCACCACCTTCTTCAATTGCAAGAATCTTCAAATTCATCTCCATTGTGATATAGGGATTATGATGAATTTTCTCACACTTGCAAAATATCTTCATCTTTCCCTTCACCCTTGGTGCATTGACCTTTTTTTTTTCAAACTTCTTGAACCTCTCTTGTGCTAGATCTCTCGAATCGAAAATTTTATCCAACCCGTGTCACTTAAAATATTTTATACACCAAGTTGTAAGTGATAATTAGTGTAATTTTCAATAAATTTATCACCTTGAACATAATTCTTGAAAATTTTGATGAGGTGGTCTTCACTTTCATGCTTGCTTGGAAAAACATCTTTTGTAGTTACTTCATAAGTTCCCACTTCAGCATCTTTAATCACATAAGGATCCCTGATCTCTTCATTCTTTAAGAATTCTTCAATTTCTTATACCTTTGTTTCAACTTCTTCACAAACTTCTTTTTTTGTCATTTCTTTAGTTGCTTCTTCAACTTCATCGTTTTCTTCATCCTCTCTAGTCTCTTGAACTTCAACTTTTACTTTAACTTTTTAACTTCTTTCACTTCATCAAAATGATGCTCTTCTTGATCCTCCATTATTGTGTCTTCAATTACATATTCATCTTTTTGAAAACATTGAATCCAATATTCCTTGGATAAAAACCCACCTTCATATTTGGAGACAATTCTTTCAATCAACTTCCAAACATGATTTGGAGAACTTGAATCTCCTACAAGCTTCTAAATCTTAGGATGAATCGCACTCTTAAGAACTCCAAGTGTCTTTTTTTTTGTTTTTCTCTCGGATTCTTCTAGGCAAGCCACTTCTTGGCTTTTCTTCAATCATACCCCATAAATCACATGTTGTGAGATAAGAAAGAAGAGTAATCTTCATTCTTTTGTAATTAGAGAACTTCATCATTTCACACCAAAAACATATACTTGGTGAATCTTCCATGATCGTCCTAATAATGGCGATCTATGAAGACTTCAAGTATTGTACCAGCTCTGAAAAGGAGCTATCTAGACTTCTAGGATTGAAAGCTGACTTTGATACCAATTTAGTGGAATTACCTCAATGTTATTTCGGTTGGAAAATCGCTCAGATACCACTTTATTGGAGTCAAGAGGACTAGAAATAAAATGGAAGAAAGTAGAGGAGGATATGAATAATCGAAGACAAAAAAATTCATACAAGTTGATTACAATTACACTCAATTAGACTCTTCAATAAAGCCTTATTCCATTCGTTGTGTTTTTTAATGTCAAGGTCTCCCATTTTTTAAATCTTAGTGACTTTATCCAATGCTACATTAGCATCACAGAGATTAAGATTAGTTTCAGACAATAAAAATGATCTAATTATCTGCTCAATTTTCTTCACAACAGCTTCAGGTATCGTAAGAGGGCTACACAAAAAAAGCTGTAAGCTGCATAATGCAGAATTAATAAGTTGTACTCTACCAACATACGATAAGGATTTGTTGACCCATGATTTGCTTCTGGATACTGTCTTGTTAGCATCAGTGATCTCGATCATGTTTTCTTTATCTTTTCACTATTCTACTCCCCCCCAACTTAACTTAAAGTTTAGCCCCTGCTTTTACTAATTCTTATGCTTTTTTTTTCCTAAGTATTAACGATCCGCAGCGGGCTAAATGATGTAACATGGAAGGCTTGATATATATATATATATATATATATATATATATATATATATATATATATATATATATATATATATATATATATTATTTGGCTAAGGACTGAATGGCTTAAGTCTTGGACTAAGTGGGTGCCAACGTCTGTCTAAAGGTCTTTTATTATTGAACTCATTCAACATCCTGAACAGTTGGACACTGGGAAGGAAAAATGTGTCATTAATTTTTTGCACTGAATGACTGTGTAATCCTGTTTAGTGGGGGTTTGGAGGTGCAATAGTGTTTAAACTCCTTAATCGCGAAGCAATTCTGAGGGTTTAGTATCCCACCCCACCAATTGTCTCAATTGTACAATGTGGCATCCTATCACCTTGTTTCGCTTGTTTGAACTTCTTGAGGTCAATGCCTCTTATTGGTGGACTTGTTCAGTAGATGTTTACATGTGCATCTCCAATTTAACTAGCTTGACCATTGGCCATTGATCTTGGTCAAATTGCTGGTTGTGGTACTCAAATTTACTTTTGAATGTTCTCGTACTAACTATGCTGTAATAGGTTTTCCTTTCAATTTTAGTAGGAGAAATTGGATCGCCTTATGACTCTTATGTATGTGCAAGAGTTGCATTTTCTTTTCCTTTTTTCCTTGGTTGGGCCGGAGGTGATGGGTTGATGCCTTTTCAATTTTCACATTTCCTGCACATAATAAGCCTACGGTAGGCCAGGAAAGATATTGGGACTGTATTTATTTAAATTATTTACATCAATTCATCTTCTGTAGCCAAGTTAGTGGTGCTGCCTTGATGCCACCATTTGCTGCCTATTTTGACAGTCTTGTATCTGGTATGTGTTGTTAAGTTAATTTTAAGGAAACTGTACTGTTAAGCCGTAGCATTTTTTGATGGCTTTTTACCTACTCATTAGGGTTGGAGATGATTCAGAGTTAATAGATGCAGGTGATGTTCAATTGATGTCCCATGTAGGTATTTGATTTGCCTTTGTCCCTGTTGGTTTATTTTTATGGAGTCCTAGTTTGTATATGTGATCCGGATGATGACCCGACCCGAAATAATGTTGTGTGGTTTTTAATGGAATTTTTCTGAGGTTTAGTCCATGGAGCGAAGGCTTGGGTCGATAGGCCCAAGCCGTAGCGCTCATGGACAAGCCTCGTGGGGGTTCGGGGGCAACGCCCCCGAGGAAAATTTTTTTTGGGCCCGTTATACAGCCCAATGCGTAGGACATATAAACCCTGTTGTTTTGGTGATTAGGGTGAATTTTGTGGATGGTACAACCGCTCTCTGTATTCAACTCTCTCAATAGTGAAATCCCTGCAGCTTCGTGGACGTAGGCAAATTGCCGAACCACGTAAAATCTGTGTCTTGTTCTTTCTTGTTTCTTATTGCTTTATATTCTTGATTTGTTCTTCGATTGTGTGTGTTTGTTAGTGGATTTAAATCGTGAGAAATCCCAACAGTCCCTTTACTGCGGACATTTGATTTCCTTTGATGGGGGTCTATAGAGATGGAATTTTTAATCATTGTCTCTTGACTCTTTAGCATTCAAACAGATATTTTGGAGTACTAAACTAATATCCATTGGTTGATGACTATTGAAGGAATTTAGTTCAAAGTGGAGACAAATTGGTCCTCTAGGACAGATTGAAGTCTTTTCCTCAGTTATCATATTAAGTTGCTTTTTCCTTATGGTGGTGTTGATGTTTACATGTGCTGTATTTAGATTACATAGGCAATATTTTGGTATCCGATTTGTCGATTTCTTTTCTTTTTTTTCTTTACTCAAACTGCACATTTTGAGAGAACCAAAGAGTGATCTAAATCGAGAACTAGTTCTGTTGAACAAGTGCCACATTTGGCAAACTAACCAATCATCAGATTTCTTTGTTGATTATTTGACGATTCAGATGCTTTGTTGCCTAGAGTGGCTTCCCCATGTGTGGTAGAGGTTATGTGTCATGTCTTGACATGTCTGACATGGTTGGGATTATGCTTACTAGGTTGTTTAGTCTTTGAACTGAAAAAAAAGTGTTTTTGCAGTATGTTGATAGAACTATGTGACTTATAGTAATTTTCATGTCATACTTCGCAGGAATCGGGTTCAAGAGTGTGTTTCTTGTCAGTAAACAGACATATATATTTAGTAATGGCTACCAAATCAGGTTCAATGAAGTTCCTAATGAAGACTGTGGTATTGGGCATTCGGGTCTTGCGGGCTCCTGCCTACTACCACCATCATTCTTCCCTTAAAGCCTGAAAAAATTGAAGCTGCGAAGAAACAACTGTCAGAGATCCACCCAGAGGTTTTGCTCTTCTTACATAAGATCAAGAGATTGTCAGTGCGTGGAAAAAATAGCTGTCCTTTATTAGCGGATTCAATGTCTTCAATTTCTATCTCTAGTGAGATTAATGTTATTCCTTTGAGGAGTCAAGGTGCAAGTTCCTGTATACTCCATCTTTCGGTTCAGGAGGAAAGAGGTGCACCTGAAGCCACTTGCAGCTATTACTTGTATAGACGAGCCTGCCCGGTGAAACCTGAGAATGTTGTGGATGCTAGGAAGGACTTGAAGGAGATGGTAATATCTCTAGCCTTCCCATTTGGAGAGAGACTGAAAAGGGGGACTTCTTCTGTTGGCATCTTTGCTTTCCTGCCAACGGCAATGGTTACAAGTTTTCCAGTTATAATTCAGGCAGACTTCCTTCTTGCATCTTCAAGGGAAGCAATAGTAATGGACAGTAAGTGGAACCTGGGAATTCTTGGCCATGTTCCTTCCTGCTTTGTTAGTGCGCTTATTACTTGTATGAAATCTGCTGAAACTGCTGAGTTTTTTACTGGTGCTCGAGTGCTTGAATTTTTGCCTGTGCATAACTCTCCTTTCAAAGAGCTGAATAGAGTGAGAGAGTCCATCAGAGCCGTGTTGATGTCAGAGTGCACTGCTCCTTATGAGTCATTCTGTAACAAGCAAATGGTTTTTTGCGAGCCAACCAAAGCAATAAGGATCTTTCCAGAATTTCGCAAGATCCTGCTCCGCATTAAGGGACAGAATGTTTCTCTGAGTGGTATTTCTTCCCAAGGGAAGTTTGTGCTACATAATTCTGTGGACCACCCAAAATATGATGAGGTTTGGGAGTTTCTTGGAGTTCCATCTGCGTCTGATAGTTATGGTTAGTATGGAAAATGCATTACCGCATGTAAGCTCATGCTCCGGGCTTCTGCAGATGTGTACATGGAGCTTCTTTGCTTTCTGGCCACCAACTGGAAACGGTTTCCACATTACAGTGTTAATAGCATACCTCTCCTGAAATACATTGCTTGGAATGGGGAAACTTTATCATGTAGTGTTCTACAAATCATACGAGAATCGTTAAAGGTTCATCTTGTTTGGGACGCAGAAGAACATGCCTGGTTAAATAAATGGAACTTAGAAATGGGGTGCCCAAATGATATGTATTTCTGTCCTGATGCATTGATAGCTTCTCTTCTGGGAGTTTGGAGAAAGGTGTGATCGTGCCTAATGTCTCTACGTACAGTTCAAGACTGGTTAGTTTTGTTGAAACCAAGAAGGACCCAAAACTTGCATTGTCACTATCTCATCTTGTATATCAGTCTGCCTTGAAGAACTATATTGGATCCAACTCCATTTCCAGAATTTTACAGTCTATGCCAGTGGTTGACAAGTTTGGGAATGTAACTCTTTGTACTAGGATACTGGTGCCTGCTTCCATGAGCACATGGGTGAAGCTGTTTGGTTCCAGCAATCCATTTGTCAGGGATTTTGCGATGGATAATAGTGAAATGAGAGAGAAACAAGAGCCTTTTGAAATGATGGATAAGGAAGATGAAGCAAATTGTGCTGAATATATTGAACTAGGAGAGGGTTATGCTTCAGCTACTGAGTTTGCAGGGGAATTGACACCACCAAGGGAACTATCAAACTTCTTTGTACAGCATGCCAAAGCTGTTGATTTACCTCATATAGTACCTCCAGACATGGCACTACAAGTAGCTTCCACTCACCTAACTAGAGATCAGGCTATATTACTTCTGGACTGGATCCGGAATTTGAGAGCTAAAGAGTATGCTTCCCAAACAGACAGAAGCCAGCTGAAGAAGTATGATATGCCTGCAAGGTTCATCAAAAGCATACGTAGGGGGGAGTGGATGAAGACGTACTCTGGCTTTAGTTCTCCAATGCAGTGCTATCTTTATGATAGAGCTGAGAATTCTACTCTCTTGGAAATAGGAAAAACTCTCATGGTCTTATCAGCTATTAATGAACAGTATTATCAAGACCGGATCAGTTCTTACAAGGATGAGTTGATATTCGTTGGTGTAAAAATCGGGACAGAGAATATGTATCAGCTCATAATTGATTACCTTAAATCTCTTGCTTCCTCTCCTATGAGTAGGAAATTGGCAATTTCGCTTTTAAGGTTTATTCGTTATTCAAAGGCCAATGATAGTCTTGATGAAGACTTGATCAAAACTCTCAAAAATGGGGAAATGGCTGAGGACACATCAAGGTTTTGCAACCCCTGTTGGATCTGTTTTTCTGACATTTGATATTATAGGGGTTATTCTACTAATCACAGATCTATGGGAGCCAACTTAGTGGTTTTGCTGATGAGCTTAATTTGCTGGGTGTTGTAGTGGATATGGAAGAAGTATACAAACTAATTCCCCAACATTTCAGATTCCCTGGAGATCTCTCCAAGTTTACTAAGGATGCTGTCTTCCTGTTGCTTAAATGTGTCCGGCATATAGGTCCTGCAGCTCTTGGCTTGATACAAAAAATCAGTTGTCAAGCTTGGATCAAAACTAGTTCTGGTTTTACATACCCCTCAGAATCCCTCAGAATCTCTTTTGTCCAATCCCAAATGGGTTCACTTACTTGATATTGTTCCTTTACCCGTCATTGATGAATCCTACTATGGAGACAGGATTAGTTCATACAAGGCAGAACTGAAGGCCATTGGTGTACTAGTAAATCGTGACCAAGTTTGTAATTTGCTTGCTACTAAAATCAAGTTGCTATTGTCTTCCACTGTTTTAACCAGTGCCATAGTAATCTCACTTCTGAATTGCGTGAGATATATGAATGAAACGATGTCCTCACATATAGTAATATTATGAACTGTTTGTCAGGTGAACATTGGTTGAAAACCTGACATGGCTATAAATCTGCTTCAGATTGCATTTTGTATGATTCCGAATGGGCAAAAGTTTCTCACTTTGTTGATCTGCCTCTCATTGATGAGGCCTTCTATGGTGTTGAGATCTACTCTTTCAACAATGAACTGAAGTTGCTAGGTGTTGTAATTGATTTCAGTGAAGGAGCTCATTTTGTTGCGAGAGGTTTGAAGTTACCATTAGAACAGTCATTAGCAACAGCAGAGTCTGCTCTTGCATTGCTTCAATGTGTCACCTCCTTACGAAATAGTTGCAAGCCCTCTGAACAGCCACTGCCTGAACCTTTGTTGGAAAAATTAAAAAGAGAGAAATGGTTGAAAACGCACATGGGGTACAGATATCCAGATGAAGCTCTTCTTTTCAATTCAGAGTGGGAAGGCCATTTAGAAGAATATGATGGACCTTCATTGATCAAAGTTACTATGGGAAACTTAGTTCTCTGGGAATGTATGATCTAAAAGCTATAGGTGTCAAGACGGGTGCAGAGGAAGTTTGCACTCTTATTTTTAAGAGTCTGTCTTCTCACCATCAAACTTCTCAGGTAGTGAGACTTTACAGGTTCCTACAAAAATGCAACTGGGGTCCAAAATCACAGGATGATGCAATATTTCAGTTGTGGATTCCAGATGATGGGGCTACAGGTGGAGGAAAATGGGTGGGTAGTTGGGACTGTGTGCTTCATGATAGAGACAATCTCTTTGGCCATTGTGTACATGCTCTTGATAAATATTATGACAAGCAATTGCTCACTTTTCTGTCAACGGCTTTTGAAGTTGCTGAATTTCCCACTCTTGATAGGTATATTGATCTCTGGGACGGCTGGGTGGGAGGTAAGCAACAAGCATGCCCGGTAAAGTTGAACTCCTTTTGGAATTACATATCAGAACACTGGAATCCTTGTACTGAAATGGCTCTCAAAATTAGTATGACCATGTTACCTGCGATGGATATCTCCGGGAAGGTCATGTTAGTGGAGAAAGAAGAATTGTTTATCCCTGATGACATGCATCTTAGAATGGCATTCACAGAAGCTAGTGAAAAGCCACTCTTTGTCTGGTTCCCACAAAATGGATTGCCAGCCCTTTCACGAATATATGAAATATATGGAAGTCTTGGAATTCGTAAAATATCTGAATCTGTTGAGTTCTCTGTAAATTTGAAAAGCTGGAATCTGAAGACAGCCTGATAGGGAGAACATTGATGAAAATACTATTGAGTTTCCTAGCAAATCCTCTAATAGCCATGCCAGCGGAGGAAAGACACAGGAGGGCAAAATCTCTCCTTGATATCTCAGTTTTTGGAACAGATGAACCGATGATAGTCAGCTACAGTTTGCTTTTACCTTCTCTTAAGAACAGATTGCAAGTTGAAGTAAGAAGAAAGGTGCTCTGGGACACTAACTCCTGGAAATTGCTGCTTCATAGACCAAGCTGGAAAGAAGGGCACAAAAACATCGAGTTCATCACTCATTTTGCTCAATTCATATCAGAGACAGCACTGCCAAATAGCACTTCTCTTGCAGACAGCCTGTGCAAAATTATAAAGATGGGCTTTGCATTTGGTTTCAAAGAGGATGAGGTTGACTTCTTGCTGGTCACAGAAAACCTAGAGCTGTCGATTGAGGACAAAAAATTCCTTGATTCCCTATTTCCTCCTGCCAAGTCTCCTGTTCCAATGCAACTTCAGTCATACTGCCTGAAAGCACCTTGTACACCTGAAACTTCCTTATACAAAAAACCACGAAATCCTCAGCACAAGAAACACCGAAAGATATGAGTCTCTGATGACTCATTTTTGGGTAATGCAGCAGCATGTAACTACTATGTTTCAGATGTTTTATTTTAAGGAATGTAAATGATAAGTTTATGTGACATTTAGTTATGTAGTCGTTGTTGGACTCATTTTGAGTGGCTTTGTTGGAAGCCATCTGAAGTGTGAAAAGTGTTTTGTAGAAGAAAGTTGATAGTATATGCATGTATACCATGTGCATACGTGGCGAGTACCACCAGGAGTAATTCTGTACAACAAAACTGTTTTGTCCAGGGTGCTCTCTCTCTTTTGCAACAGAATGATTTTCAAGTCCTTTGAATGAGAGTAGTTGGTATGTTGAAAACCTATTTGCTAGCTATGCTCATACATATCCAATATGGCCAACTTTATAAAATGCTCAGCTCTTCCTTCTTGAAGCATGGTTTCTTTAATGTTTTACAGGATATTTTGTAGAATTTGAATTGTGCATTATAATGTCTACAAATTACAAAGAGTGTAAATTTGTGAAGGTTTCTATGTACCTGTTTAGGATTACTATTAGAACCAATGTCTTTTGTTAATTTGAATTTTGAATTATTGTTACCCTTCATTGTCTGATGCATAATGCATGTGGAAAATTTAAGTGTTTTCTGAAAATAACAATGTAAAGTGTCTGGATTATTTGACAGAACGGACAAGGAGTATTATAGTATGCTTATCTATTTGTCATCGTAATTCCATCGGGATCTGAAGTCTCAGATTGTTTTGTAGTAGTAAGCTGATGGTTATGTATGTATGTGTACCAGAAATGCAGATTTGAGTATTGGCCGGAGTTAATCTGCACAACAATAGCTTCTTTCCAAAATTTTTCTGTATGAAAAAGGCCCATTTTCAAGTCCTACATGAGAATATTTAGTTTATTGAAATCCTCTTTGTTTACATCATTAATATTGCTGAATTTAGAAATGCTCTGCTGCTCCTCCTTAAAGTACAGTTTGCTTTTTTTTTTTTGCTATGATATTGTGGTAACAGTGCACACTACTGTGTTAATGTTTTAAACTGGTCGAAATTGATCTAGCATATTAATTTCCCGTGCAAGTCTTCTACGCATTTTTTTAATGATTTTTTTTAGATCGTGCATCTTTTGTTTTCGATTTATTACCTTCATTTCATGACGTAGAATGCACAAGGAGTATTAAATGAGTGTTTTCTGAAAATAGCGATGTGAAGTTTCTGCAGAGCATTATACTTTGTTTATCCATTTGTCATCACAATTCATCTGCTGATCACATTGCGCTCAGGATATAGGATAGGATATATCCTTTGGCGTCTGAGTTTCGATGGTAGGAATCTATTTCAGTAAGTTTTCAGGAATGTAAAACCAATAAAATTTTCCAAGTTTTTTCACTCAGGAGGTCTTAGTCCACCTATCCTCTGATGCTTTGTAGTTGGGAATTATGGTTGTTGCTTAGTAATTTTCCCCACCCCGTTTCAGTGTTGTGGAACCTAGAATTTGTTTAAGCTGATCGTTGTGATGTTAAACTAATCAGTTCTGCTGCTACATTATTTTTGCTACTTTTTTTGGTTGTCAGTACATAGGGAGGTCCAAGGCCTAAGAATGCTGGTAAGCAACACCCACCGGGTATTCTTCAATCTTGTAAATTAAGCTTTGGGGTTTTCTTTTCTTCTTCTTCTTCCGTTTGTTTTGTTGTTTTTCCCCAGGGAACCCTGCAGCTCTTGAACCCTACATTCTGCTTATGGCCTTTATGCCAGAGAAAGTCTGCACATCTGTAATGTAAACTTTCTCCCCATCACAATTTTATCTGCAAAAATGGGTATTGGTACGTGGCTAAAACAGATATTTAAAACTGTGGATTCGAACCAAGGACAATCACTTTGAGCAAATGATACATGTTAAGTCTATACTCAATCTAATGGGGACTAAATTAGATGTTATTTTAGCAAAATTTTATCTGCATGCACGGAAAAATAGCATACGTCATACATTTAACTCTGAATTCTTGTAATGGACACATGATCTTAACTGCATAATACAAACTTCAGCCTTTGTGATATATAGTTTGTGGATGCTTTTAAAATAGAACTGACTTGAGTTCGTTGCTTTTTCGAGTAGCAAAAACAGTGAACAAAATACATGCATATGTACGTATTTGTTCAAATTTCATCAAAGAAAAA